CTTTACAATAACATCACTCTAATCTCAATCTTAACTTATCTCATTACAATGACTTCCATATTTTTTCCCCCACCATCTATAAAATTTATTCCAAATTTGGTAAAAATCCGTTTCATCCTGATTTTTGAGTTTCTTAGTTAACCTATCTAATTCTGCGCAGTGCATAATTTTATGAATTAAGATTTCCTCACTAGGTATAGCCGTAGCTTTCCAATTTTGAGCGAATACAATTCTTGCCGCTGTAACCACATGAGTGAATAAATACATATCTTTTTACTCATTATTTTCAAGAATTCCTAACAACGTCTCAGGTTTATACTAGATGTTTTGCATACTCATTTCTGTTACCCATTCCCAAACCATACGCCAATATCTCTGTGCTTTCTTACATAGCCACCAAACATGAAAATATGTGCCCCTTTCTTTTTTACATTTCTAACATAATGATGAGGTATCCTTTGTACATTTTGGCTAATCTTGCTGGAGGGAGATGCCATCTGTAAATCATCTTATACGAATTTTCTTTGTATGATGACGCCAATGTAATTTTATTATTTCGCATCCACACCTGCTGCCATTGATCCAAACTGATGCTGTGTCCTAAATCTATCACCCATGTCACCATTGTTTCTTTAACCTGTATTGGCACGGAACCACTGATTGGTTCAAAATTGGAAAAGGAGTCCGGCAAGGCTGTATACTGTTGCCCTGCCTATTTAACTTATATGCAGAGCACATCATGAGAAAGGCAGAGCTAGATGAAACAAAAGTTGGAATTAAGATTGCCGGGAGAAATATCAACAACCTAAGATATGCAGATGATACCACTCTAATGGCAGAAAGTGAAGAGGAACTAAAGAGCCTCTTGATGCGGGTGAAGAAGGAGAGTGCAAAAGTTGGCTTGAAACTCAACATTAAGAAAACCAAAATCATGGCATCCAGCCCTCTCAATTCCTGGCAAATAGATGGGGAAGAAATGGAGGTAGTGACAGATTTTATTTTTCTGGGCTCAAAGATCACCTCAGATGGGGACTGCAGCCAAGAAATTAAAAGACGCTTGCTCCTGGGGAGGAAAGCTATGGCAAATCTAGACAGCATACTAAAAAGCAGAGACATCTCTCTGCCAACAAAAGTGCGTATAGTCCAGGCCATGGTTTTCCCAGTTGCAATGTATGGCTGTGAAAGTTGGACCATAAGAAAGGCTGAGCGCCAAAGAATTGAGGCCTTTGAACTATGGTGCTGGAGAAGACTCCTGTGAGTCCCTTGGACTGCAAGGCGTTCAAACCGGTCAGTCCTAGAAGAGATCAACCCTGACTGCTCTTTAGAAGGCCAGATCCTGAAGTTGAAACTCAAATACTTTGGCCACCTAATGAGAAGGAAGGACTCACTGGAAAAGGGCCTAATGCTGGGAAAGATTGAGGGCAATAGAAGAAGGGGACGACAGAGAATGAGATGGCTGGATGGAGTCACTGAAGCAGTAGGTGTGAACTTAAATGGACTCCAGAAGATGGTAGAGGACAGGAAGACCTGGAGGAATGTTGTCTATGGGGTCGTGATTGATCGGACACGACTTCGCAATTAACAACAACAACAACAACAACAAACCAATAGGTGTTTGTAAATATTCCTTATTTGTTTTTTTTCCGGACCAAGCAAAATTTTATCTAGACCCGTATCTTGTCTATAAATACCCCATTCATCTTTATCTTTCAGATATCTTGCTTGTATCTGGAGATAAGACCACCATTCTATCTCTATTCCTTGTTGTCTTAACTCTTGTTTAGATTTAAAAAAACCCTCTTCTGTCAAAATGTCTCTGTACCTAATAACCTTATCTTTCCTGAGCAAATTGGGGTATTTAACTGCCTCCAATGGCGATAACCAAGTCGGAATCTTTGTGTAATATTGAGATTTGACAGTATTCCAACTTTTCATTAACCCTTGCCACACCCTGTGTTTTAAAAAATATTGGTAATTTCTATTTTGCCCCTTCCACATATGAGCATGCCATCCCTGCTGAAGATCATAACCCTCTAACTGAATACATCTTTGATTCTTTAAGGTTATCCAATCACTAATCCAAGACAGGGCCGCGGCCAGGTAATATAATTCCCAATCAGGAAAGCCTAAACCACCCCTTTCCTTGGCATCCTGTAAAGTCTTTAATTTTATTCTAGCCTTCTTACCAGCTCATACAAATTCTAAAGTTATTTTATTTAACTCCTTAAAGAAATTTTTATCCAAGAAAATTGGAATATTCTGAAACAAAAAAATCAATTTGGGTAGGATATTCATTTTTACAGCAGCAATTCTCCCGAGTAATGAGAGGTGTAAATTTTTCCAACGTTCTAGATCAACTTTAATTTTTTGCATTAATTTAATATAATTATCTTCTTTAATTGATGAACAACGTGCAGAAATGATTATCCCTAAGTATTTAAATTTAGAAACTACTTGTATACCTAATTTAACCTCGAGGAATCTTTTTTGAATATCAGTCATATTTTTAGTAATAATCTTTGTTTTATTTTTGTTTATTTTTAAATCTCCGTAATCTTCTAAAATTTCAAATAATTTCTGCCCGGAGTGTTCTGGGTCTTCCAAAATAAATGCTAGATCATCTGCATAAGCCTGAAGTTTATATATTTCTTTCTTAATCTTAAATCCTCTAATCTGTTCTTCTTGCCTTACCTCTCTAGCAAGAATTTCTAGAGTATAGATGAACAGCAATGGCGAGAGAGGGCATCCCTGTCTAGTGCCTTTCTGTATGTTAAATCTATCTGTTGCCACCCCATTTATTATGATCTGCGCTTATTGTTTGGAATATATTACAGTTATAACGTTTAAAAAATTTCCTCCGGCTTCCATTAATTTTAATTGTTGTATTGTGAATTGCCAATTAACATTATCGAAAGCCTTTTGAGCATCCAAAAACAGAAGTGCCACTTGCCGATCATTGTGTGATTCATAAAATTCTAGAATATCTAAGATTGTTCTCATATTCTGTTTAATCTGTCTGTTTGATAAGAAGCCGGGTGTATAAAATCTATTAAATATTTTTTAAATCTCTCTGCCATTATTGAAGCAAAAATTTTGTAATCCAAATTCAATAAAGATATGGGTCTATAATTTTGTATCCATATTTTTTCCGTATGTGCTTTTGGAATCAGTGTTATATTTGCCTCTAACCAGGACTTAGGTATTTTAGCTTCGGTAAGTACTGCATTAAAGACCTCTAATAGATATTGATTAAAAACACTCTGCAAGTCTTTATATAGTTCAGCAGGTATTCCATCTGGGCCTGTCGCCTTATTAATTTTTTGTCTATTTATAGCCCTAATTAATTCAGACATGCTTATTTCCTCATTTAACTTAGATTTTATTTCCTCTGGTATTTTTGGCAGCTCTGCCTTTACCAAATATTCTATTATCTGTTCCACGCTTCTTCCCTCATTATTCTTATATAAATTTTCGTAAAATCTTTGAGCAATACCCCTTTTTACAGTCTCCTCCCCCTGGATTTCTCCATTTTCATCTACCAGATTAGTAATCCATGATTTCACTTTCTGTTGTCTTAATTTATACACTAGCCATCGTCCCAATTTATTTGCATGCTCAAAATTTTTTTGGTTAGCTGCCTGTAATTTTTGTGCGTATTTTTCCAATTCCTCTAAGTTAAGTTTGTGTTTAATTAAATACATTTTTATTTTCAATCCTTTATTTCCAGGATCTCTCTGGAGTAATATTTCAGCCTGTTTATAGTTTGCTTCAAGCCTCATCTTATATTGCTGTTTCTCTTTATTACTCTTAGCTGTATACGAAATAATAACTCCCCTCAAATATGCTTTAGACGTATCCCAAAGATTCTGCAAAGATGTGTCCTCATTATCATTCACTTGAAAGAAAAGATGCATTTCTTTCTCCATACTTTCTCTAAATTCTTTTTCCTTAAGAATCCTTCTTTGGAAGGTCCATCTTGGCCTATATCTTTGACCTTTCAAACTTATCGGGTTATGATCAACCCAGAGACTGGGTTCTATGTCTATTTCCTGTATTTCTGAGGCTAATTCTTTGGAACACCGTAGCATATCTATTCTAGTCCATGATCTGTGCCTGTTGGAATAATACGTATATTCCCTCTTATCAAAATTCCTCTCTCTCCAAACATCCTCTAAACTAAGATCCATACACATCTCAAATAAAATTTTTGGAAGTATTTTTTTATGTCCTTTCATTGCCTCTGTACATTTATGGTCTTTAGTTTTATCTACAATCGCACTGAAATCTCCGATTATTCTCTTCCAAAGGTAAGAGAAGAGGAGGGTGTGGGCCCTAGTGGTTGGGAATCAGACCTAAGTCCTATAGAGATCCAGTGAGGGAGGCAAAGGCCTGTGGGGAACCAGTGGGGGGGAAGCAGGCCCAAGGGCTGTGGGGACCCGGAGAGACAGAAGAGAGCATGGGATGTCCCAGGGGGTAGAGAGGCCTTGAGAGACTGGGGAAGGAGGGCCTAGGCCTGCACTTTCCTTCTCAGGGCCTTCCCAACCCCTGAAGCATCCCATACTCCACTTAATGACTGACATGTTCATTTAGCGACCACATCAGGGAAAGCAGGGGTGAGAGTTGTTAAGTGAAGCTGTCTCGCCTAACAGCCATCACAACATGAAACCGTAATGGGCAGACTCCATTATGGTCATGTGTCAAAGACCTGTAAAACAGTAGAGGTGCAGTAAGAATTGTTAAAAAGATCTACCCTCTTTGAATAGAGAGGTTCACACCAAATCTCTAGTTTACTAAGCATGGTGCCAATTTTTAAAATCTGATAATATATGCTGGCACAATATTTTGAAGAAACTAATGGCCTAGGTAGAGAAACCACACACACACACACACACACACACACAACATGCACACATCAAAAAAATTCAGAATTGCAGCATTTTCAATTGTAATTATTTAATATAGGTATAAAGTCTATAATCAATATACATGTTTATATTTTAGTACAGTTCCTTAGAGAAAAAAGCCACCATAATTGATTCCTCTAGCAAACAGAATCAATGCTACCAAGATCATACACAAAAATAATTCAGCAATAACAATTTAAACAAGATGCCTTCCATGTAACATCATGAAGCGCCAGCCTCATGTACATTTTACTTCATAGTATTTCTGATTCTCACTGCCTCTGCTAGGAGAATTAACTTCAGGTGCGGTTTGGAAGCCTAGTGGGAAAAAAATAGTGAGTCCTGCCTCCTGCAACTTGGTGTCTGGCTCGCCCAACATTAATTGCTAACAGATCTTTAAAGGAAATATAATCCATCTGGAATCAAATAATAGTGACAATTATATGCTATGATGGTACCTATCCCCCAGTGGGCAATTTTTTGCCAATGTCTGCCCACTGGCTAAATTGTACTTCTTAAAGAAATCCACACTTCATTTAAGGTCTCTTAAAGAGACTTAGATTTAAGAATATCAGCATCCATATGTGTATATTTAGATTAAAAGCTCCTGGAGGACTCACATCCCCAAAGACTTTCATCAGTTAAAAAGTAAATGTTGATATTCTATAAAAAGAAGATTTGAGACACAATAGGAGCAGAAACTTTAAAACTGGGCATTTCCTCTGTAACTCTTTAACCAATTTAGGATTGGAAGGACTGTCTTGAGCATCTGCACAGAGTCACTTCTAAAGAGAGATGTCATCATTGACTTTAAATGCCTTGTATGGGCAGGGAAACTCTCTAAACACAGCACTGTAAACTTGTCAGACCTAATTAGAGCAAAAGGGAAACCAAGGCAGCTGTCCAGCTTTATGGGCAAAAAAGCCATTGCTAGCATTTTATTGTTTGCAATCTTCACTTTCAATAGATTTCTGCTCTTATGACATGTCCATGATTGAAGAAGAAATGTGTCTTACGGACAAGATGAAGTGGAAAAACACTACAGCATTCATCAATTTCTTCAAATGCATCAAAACAGTATTGTCAATCCAATATATTATAAAAAGCATCAGTGTGAATTAAAGCAATCTAACAGAAGGAAACTTCTACACTGGATAGAATAACAAAACTATATTAACAGCAATCTTTAAGTCTAGGTTTACTTCAGAAAACAAATCCCTTCTCAGAGCAGTTCATCATAACACTATTTTTTTAAATTAAATAATGAAGTTGGGATACAGGGTAGCCAATAAATATATTCAATATCTAAACTTTGGGGGGAATCTTAAAAATTAAATGCATTTCTAAATTTTTAAATGCATTACTGAAGGATAGGCTTTTATATTTTTCTCTTTATTCAGGTGAGAAATTATAGTTTTGACCTTACAAACTCACTAGAGAAGACCAATATTTGGTTCAAACGTGTTTTGCATGAATATTTTCATGGCTGTTGAGAGATGTACTGTGTGGTTTTGTATGTTTGGGGAAGGCAACTGTAGCAGTAGAGAGGATTGTTTTAATGTCTTTATTAATATGAGGTATCCCTAAATATACCAACTGTCTCTCCCTCTGGGTAGACTTATTCCTTCTGAGTTTTTCTATCAGTTCCAATCTTGGTCACAAGTTGAAAAAAAGTACAGCATCTGGCTTTTTCCAACAAAGCATTACATTGAGCCTCTCTGCCTCTATAGAGCATCTGACATGTAGAATGACAGGGCTTCTGATCATGGACTTTGTATTTCCGCATCCTTGATCATGATAGTGTTTCTTTTCCCTTTGCTATAATACAAATTAAACTGGATAATTTAGCCAATTTTAATTTGCCCAATTCAAAGTGTTGGGAGGATTGTTGTAGAATTACAGAGCAAATGCTGCCATTCTGGTCTCACTTATCAGCCAGAGAATTAAGAGATGGGGGGGGCTGCATGCCCTCCAGTCCTCTGCTTCAACTAAAGACACAGTAGCTCCAAAAATCCAGTTTTCATGCAAGACAACCTTCTCTTTTCTTCCTCTTTCTCTCTTTCTTTTTCTTTCTCTTCTCTTCTCTCCTCCCCTACCTTACCCTACCCTCCTCTTCCCAATCTTTTTAAAAACAGCTTCTTTCTTATAAGTTGAAGAGAAGAACTATTCTAGCAAATATGGGCAACCGCTGGTCCTTCCCCCCTTTTGGTAAGTCTCAATTTAATACTGAAAATTAATGGTACTATTTTTCTACCCCCTTGAGACAGAAAGCACATTAAAACTGAAGGAGAAGCCCTGGAATAAACAATCTAGTTTTTGAAAACCATGACCACCAAAGTAAAAATCAAAACCTCACCCATTTACATGATCATCTACCCACTGAGCCTCTTTGATTCTCCCAATATTAAGTGAGGCCCTCAGCCCATGTCCAATTGTGTCATTCCATATCATTCTTCTGTCTTCTGCACCCCTATTCAGTCTACTACACAGAATTAGAAGACTCTCCAGAATACATCTGAGACATTGAGTAGAAGCAGAATTACACTTGTGTGTTGTTGGTTGTGATTCAGTACCAGCAGTGGCTGCAGCCACGCAAGGGTGACATGAAGAGGGGAAACCTCCAGTTGTTGAAGCTATTTTGGCTGTCTTCTGACTGGCATCTGCCTAACATATTTGTTGCCTTTTTGACTTCAAGAGAAAAACCTGGAATCTTGCCTAGACAATTCAAAATGGGTAGAAGGAGAAAAGAAATTCTCATCAGTTTGTTTTAGAAAAAGACTCCTTCAGTCTTCTTTATTTAAACTGACTGAAATTTTGTGACATGCCAATGGTTACATATGTTTCGCATATGTTTATTTAATCTTTTTAGTTCGTCCCATTGTTGAAGACTCAGGATATTATACATATTTTATAAGACAGCTTCATATGCAGAAGAGGAGAATTAAAAGAAGTCCTTACTCATCCATAAATACAATTTTGTGTAGAATGCTGGAATTCCTACAGGTAATCCTTTACTTACAACCATTCATTCAGTGACTGTTCAAAGGTGCAACAACAGTGAAAGAAGTGACTTAAGACCATTTTTCATACTTATGATCATTGTTGCAGCCTCTGCATGGTCACATAATCAAAATTCAGACACTTGGAAACTAGCATGTATTTATGATGTTTGCAGTATTCTGGGGTCATGTGATCCCCTTTTGTAACCTAATGGAGAAGCCATATTCACTTTAACAACCATGTTACTAATTTAACAACTGAAGCGATTCACTTAATTGTAGAATAGGGCAAAAGCCACTTAACCACCATCTTGCTTGGCAATAGAAATTTTGGGTTGTATTTGAATTGTAGTCATAAGTTGAAGACTACCTGTATTGTGTCCCTGAGTCCTGCAAAGTATATACAAGCTGAACCAATCTTTATGTTGACTTTTACTAGTGAAAATATCTGGATATAGAAACAGTAGATTCAGTAAAATTGGCATTGTGGAGATGGAGAAATATGGCATTCTTTTTTAGAGTCTGCTGGCTTGAATATTTTTAATATTCAATATTTTTAATATTTAATATTTTTAATATTTAATATTTTAACACAACATAGACCAATATTAAACATACAAAGACAAACATACACAGCAATTCAGAATAACAGAAAGGCCTTTTATATAAAATGTAAATATAATGCAAAGAACGGGGGTTAATTTCTCAGCCAACTTTGTGTTCTACTAAGCAATGGACCAGAATTACAACAACTTCCAGTCTATTTCTCTTCCATGATATTATTACTCAGCCCACACAAAGAATTTCTTGCTTAGAAATCTGACCTACCATTTCCATACAACTGAGAGGAGAATAATGGTCAGCAGTTAGCAGGGTTTGTATTCTTTCCTTTTCTGAAGCTGAAGACTATTATTGCTTTATTCAGGCAAGCAGTCAAGCCTATTAATAATAGGTGCAAAGAACTGAAAGCAGAAGTGCCTGATTGTTGCTATAAAATTTCTCTAACTTGGAAACTTTGAACCAGCACCTTATGCTTTGGTAGGTTTGCCTGAACCAACTTTCCTCTCTATAGAAAGAGAAAAAAATATATATCTGAAAATTCCTACAAAATTTCAAAATATAGCAGATAGAAATTTCACAATAATCTTCTAATACAACTGTCCTTATAAACAGAAGGACACTGACACTGGCATTCCCTAAACTCTGCTGAAGATGTTACCCAACCTGATAACAAAACGTTCAGAAACCAACCCACAAGCTCGGAGAATGAACCTTCACCCTCATCCTATGCTCGAGCTACAGATATTCGCCACTATTGCAATACAACTCTCTGCTAGAGTCATAGACTATTCCTTTTTAAGGTGCTATAAGGAAGCAGCTGCAGCAATCCTGTTTTCCACTGTTAGGTAATCCCACACGGTTGCAGCATCCCACAGGTCCCTGATTACTCTTTGTGACATCCTGGCAGATTCCTCATACACCTCGTTTGTCAGAAGACAGCAATCAAGATTGTATATGGTGATTGCATGCCTGCCCAGTTTGGTATAAATGCACACACACTGAGAAAATAGATGTTGCCCTGAAGAAGAAGCTAGCAGAATTATTACTGGATGCCTTAAACCTATTCCTCTAGGTAAGATCTACCATCTAGCCAGTATTGCCCTGACTGCTCTTTGCAGAGAAACAGCAGCATACAGAGAGCTTCCTTCCCTCAACGGAAGACTTCAAACAATTTAAAAGCAGAGAGGACCTATGGAAAACTACAAAGAATCAACACTGGATAGAACCAACGGAGGAGCTGGCACTTGGGTTTGGCGAGCGCTGGGAAGCATGGGAATCAGACTGTGCAGGGGTACAACAAGATCCAAATGGGGCTATCTAGTGGCTTCTGCTTTTGTGATGGTGGTCACATACAGACAACAACACAAATATATATCTGTCCTTTGTGTCCTGATCAGTGCATATTTGAGGGCTCATTTATTAGTATTGCTAATTGCAGTAATATTGTGACAGAATGAGGTGTTTCTTCTTTAACTCTGAAGAGGGACTAAGTGGATGGTTGTAAGAGCCGAGGTGGCGCAGCAGTTAGAGTGCAGTACTGCAGGCCACTTTAGCTGACTGTGTTCAGCAGGTCAGCGGTTCAAATCTCACCGGCTCAAGGTTGACTCAGCCTTCCATCCTTCCGGGGGTAGGTAAAATGAGGACCCAGATTGTTGGGGGCAATGTAAATATATATATACATTGCTTACTGGTGTACACCACTTAGAGAGTGCTTGCACTTAAAGCGGTATATAAGTCTCATAAATAAATAAATAAATAAATAAATAAATAAATAAATAAATAATGTTGCTAGTTTCAGGGCATGATCTGTTTAATTTGAACATCTGCAACTACAGGGACCCATCATAAGATCCCCTAGTTCAGCACTGTCCTAACTTTGAATCGTCATTGGATGAGTGGATATTAAACAAGCACTATCTGTACAGTGAAAAATTAGCTTTCCGGAGAAGGAGAGAGATCTATTTTACTCTTCGGATGATTCAAAATAATAATTCTGTATCAATGATTATAGTTAAAAAATAAACTTAAAAACACATTTTTCCAGGTTACACACTGGGCATTCCAGACTCCAGCAGGAATTTTTCCAATGGTGAGAAATACACTCTATCTTATGATTATAATACACATGGAAAAAGCATATTACTAAAGCACACCTATCCGTTTTTGTTTTTAGGTTTATAATGGCACTTAAAATGGTTTTTTTTTTCCTGAAGGAAATATAACACAATTGCAGAAAAAAAATTGGAACTGCCTGTATTTACCTGTAGCACAGATGTTTGTACCTGGTTGCAATATTATTGCGATTAGCAATACTAATAAATAATAATGAAAAATAATAGTGCAAAACAACAGATCTACTATTACTTGCAATTTTGATAACTGTATAGTCTGGCACTTAGATTATTACCATTACATTATCTAACTTCAAGACAGTTCATTCATGTCTTTATATTCAATAATTCTTTATATTCGTGCATATTCATATATATTAGAAAAGAGAAAAAGTGCCTCAATTTGGCTGGGATTAAAATTAGATTCAAGAAAGATTCAAAGACTTTAGGGATGAAAGCCAGCTGGTGACATTGAACCAGTCACTGTCTCTCAGCCCAACCCACCTTACAGGGTTGTTGTTGTTGTGGGGAAAACAGGAGGAAGAAAGTGTGTTAGATATATTTGCTGTCTTGTGTCAACCTTGCAATGGACCTGGCCAAAGCCATTTTCCTTGTTTCCGGTTGCCACAAGATTGGGGGTGTGGGGAGAAATGGGAAGTTTTCTAACAGACTAAACAGTTTTCAGTCCCATGGGAACCAAGGTCATTTCTGTTTCCCTCAGCTGGGAAGGATAATTCAAGTGTTGGAAAGCCCACTTGGATGTGTTATTGGGGAACATAATTGAATGCATAGCCAGAGGGGTGGGAACTGTAATTTTGTATTACTGTTGCTTTTGGGAGGGGATTTTAGTCTCGGTTTCACTTTTGACCGTGCCGATACTTTGTATTCAATAAACATGTACTTAGAGGAAAACTCAAGCCTCGTAGTTCTGTATCGGAACCATGACATCTTGATTTTTTTGTAAAAATAATAAAGGTGGGATATAAATAAAAAACTAAATAAAATAGCAGGTAGTATATGGAAGACAAAGAATATACTGGTGGAACCCATTCATAATTTCATTTTATTTCAATCACAGGGACAATTACTTGATTGCAGGCTTCTGATTGTATTTTAAAGTTTGTATTCCTCGCTCTTTGTGGAATAGCTGTTTTTTATAGACATACAAGAAAACATAACCAAAAAACACACTGCAAGCTGATAAAACATCATTGAAAGTTGACTTTAACCACTCGAGTTTTAACGGCGTTAAAAACAGAAAAGGATAGTGTTGATGATTTAACTTTGCAGTAATGTTTGTTTTTTCTGTCAAGTATACAACCTTTTGGTTAAGAAAGCAGCCAACAATATTTTTTGGGCTATCATGAGAGATTAAAATCAGAATGTGCATGTACCTTGTTTCATTTCCCCCCGCCTCTTCTCTGACCTCTAGAACACTTTAAGTAAATTTTGTGGTAAAGCAAAGACCACGAGCACAGAGGGCATCTGAGACAGTCATAGTGTCTGAATATGCTTTTTGTGGTATTGGCAACATGGCTTGAGTTTGTACACTTTTATTTTCCTTCCCCCAAAAAACTGTAACTGAATTAAATAATGCAGAGGCAACTGATCTTACTTATATATGTTTAAATGATTTTATACTATGTCCGATTTAATTCTGAAGTGTAATCATATATCTCCATCTCTTCATGACCAATGCGCAATTCGGTAGACGAAATATTTTAGGCTTCTAAATTTTCATGGGAAAGGAGGGTTAAAAAAAATTATACTCTGTCTAGAGTCTGTTCCCTGATCTCTTATAAGATATATGAAAAGACTGAGACAACCAGAATCTCCTGCAGGGGAATATGAGAACTAAAATAAGTGACGATACTGGCTTTTTGTTCAGCAACTGTTAATACACTTTGTGACTCCTTCAAAATCCAATTTGGAAAGTCAGCATTTCAGCAGCTTAAGGAGATTTAGCAATGGCTTCTCCCCAAACCACATAAAGCTTCTTCACAGATCAGACAATGTTCCCTAGATCTCAGCTCATGAAAACCCAAATACCAGTACAGGTAGTCCTCAGCTTAAGACCATATGGAACCTGCCCAGTTGAGACGGTCATAAAGTAGGTCATCATATGACCAACCTGATTTTATGACCCTTTTGCGGTGGCTGTTAACCAATTTCTTTATTTGCTATGGGGTGTTTTTGCCAAAAACTGGAATTAAACCCTGGTTTTTGGCAAAAAACATTGCAAACTGCAGTTATATGACTGAGGGATATTGTAAATGGCTGTAAATGTGGACTGGTTGTTGAGCACCCAACATGAGGTCACGTGACTGTGGAGAGATGGGGCTGGCCATCAGAACTTTGGAACCAAGTTATAAGTATCTTTGAGGTGTTTCTTCTTTAACTCTGAAGAGGGACTAAGTGGATGGTTGTAAGTTGAGGACTGCCCCAGTGGTGGGATTCAGCCAGTTTGCACTAGTTCGGCAGAACCGGTAGCTAATTTTTTGTTGCCTGGTCCAGAATGGACTTCTGGAAGCGGCATCCACACAGAGAACCAGTTGTTCACATATTTGAATCCCACCACTGGGACTGCCTGTGGGATACCATGTTACCTCAGACACAAACTCTAGGTATATCAAAACTATACAAGACTTTATATTCAGAAAAAATATGGGACTATAAAGTGTCATTTATTTTATGAGTAAATTTTATAGTAACTGTTGTAGAGATTTGTTTATATGACTTAATTTAAGGGGAGTTAAAGGTTAAGTATGATGTTTTATTCCTTTTTTTCTTTTTTCTTTTCTTTTTTTATTATTGTTAACTTTCTTATTAATAACCCTGTATTCGGCTCTGGGAAGCGAGGGGGGGGAGGGTTGAGGGTGGGTGGGTGGGTGGGTAATGATAATATAGTCATGGCAAATGCTTGGGCATTTCCCCTATGCTGCGTTCATGTGTGTGAGAGGGATGAGAGGGGAGGAAGGAGTAGGGAGGAAGTAGGATGGTTAGAGGAGAAGGGGAGGGGAAGAGAGTAGGAGGGGAGGAGAGAAAGAGGAGGGAAGTAGGAAAGGATTAGAGAGGGTGGACGCAGCCTGGGGGGAATGGGCAGGCGGTACCAATTGTTACGAATTTATTTTATTTTGTATGAATAAATGGAAAATCAAAACTTTTTAATAAAAAAAAACTATACAAGACTGAGAAATTGTGAGGGCATCCATTTCTTATTTATCTGTCTTCCTTATTTTATACAAAAGAAGAAGTCTGTTTTACATAATATAAGAGAAGCTGAGTAGACTTCAAGCCTTTTTCTTCTCAGAATTCCCTGCTAGATGTTGGAAAAGTGTTTGGCATAATGGTATACAAGTAAAGAATATGCAGTCCCTGTGTTCAGTGCATTCCTCTTTCTATTAAAAAGAGGATAATTTATAGCCTACCTTACATATGAACTGAGAAACCAGGTCCAGTTCAAGCTTCCAAAACTTTGTTAAAGTCAAGGAGAACTCCAATAGTTGGCAAAACCCCACAAATGATGTCTGTCCAATACTTTTTTTTTAGGCAGTATGTATACAGTTCTTGTGTTGTTCATTAAAACCACTAGGAAGCTTTTACTAAAGGAAATGGGTTCTTTACTCAGACAACGGGACACCAAGGCAACTAAAACTTAATGCTCCAAGTACAACTATAGAAGCTGAGTGCAAACATTATATCAGAAAATGTCTTCTGGTTTATGCTTGATTGATTCAGTGGTTCAATTTCAAGATGACATTGAAAAGGGCAGGGGAAAATATTCGTATTTCTATTTCTGAGATCATTTTTTTCAAAAAATAACGATTACAGAGCCTTAAAAGAGAATGGGAACAAAATCTTCAAGTTACATTTTCAAGTAATTTCATTGTCTGAAATAGTAATAATATTAATAAGTACTTAATGTTCATTAATTTCTTCCAGTGACTTTGCATATATTGGCAAAGAAAATGGAAAAATGGAAAAGGTTTGCTTTTAATGAGTAAGTGCATTAAGTACCTAGTCTAAAAATAGTAAAAATATAAAGGCATGGGAGGAGACTGACATATGAAGGAGAAAGAGAAGTCTAATGTATTAAAATACTTTCATGCAATGTAAATAACTGAACTGAATAAGTGAACCAGTATTTACAAAGATAACTACATTTAGCAGTTTCCTCAAACTTGACTCTTCCAGAAATGTCGAATTATAACTTTCATCATCCCCAATCACCATGACAACTGGCCATGCAGCTGTTTGTGAGGGAGTATATTATAATTGCTCTGGGGAAGGCTGCTAGAGCATCTTCAGCTATTTAATCATTCATACAACTATTTTATTTTACCCTGTATCTGAATGAACTGTTAATTTCTAAGAAAAGACTTCAGATGTTAGGATACCTCAGCCATAATGAGAAGGACAACAAAAGGTTAAGAACTTTTCAAAGGCCTTTATAACTTCAAACGATCACTAAGCAAATGGTTGTAAGCTGAGGACTACCTATATTAAAACTGAGTGAGTTTTGCTTAGCAACAAGCCAAGAGTACCACTGTTGCTCCTATTTGCACCTTCCTTCCCTCCACCTTCAGAACCTGAGGCTGTGCATTTTGGAGGGTTTTTGCCACTCAATCCTGAATGCCCCCAAATCTCAGATTTCTAGCAGAACATTTACACTTCCCCTCCACGCTCCTTGTCAGATGGGTGGGATGGGCCACTTGTGACATCTGAAAGGAAATTATTTCAAAGCAGGCTGTTTTAATAGGGCAAGGTGGCTCTTTAAGAATTCAATTAACTTCCAGTCTCTTTTGCAATCAATCATCCCAGAGAATGTCCTGCCACTCTTCATTCCAGGGAGAGTGTCCGGAGACTGCCCAGATGTTTCAGCCTCCGGTTCTCCTCCGTGGAAAGTTTCCGCCTGGAGGCTGCTGCGGGTAGACATTCTGTTCTCCTGACTCTCCTTAATCTAGAGTCCTGTCAGAGCTGTCACATGAAGAATGAATCATTGGAGGGCCCTTGAGCCTGGAGAGGAGCTCAGGGCAGGCAGCTGCACAAACCCGCACCCAAATGCACGTTCTCCTCACTGAGAGTTTTACTGCTCAACCTTTGGATAATCCCAGAAGCTGACTGACAGACCGTTTGTTCAATAACAGAAATTTGCCAAAAACAAATTGGCTGTCTTTCAAACCGACACCCTGGCCTGGGCTTCTTAGACTCACCTTCTTCTCCCCCCTGTCTCCATCTCCACCCTTCCCCACATTCCATTTTCTTCACTCTAAACAAACCAGAATTATAAAAGAATGCGGCTGCCTCACTGGCCTTCATAGAGTTGTGCTCTGTCCCTCCTCCCTGCTTTTCTTCTTCTATGTTTCCCAGGATAACATATAATCCTTTGCACCTGCAAATGCTCCACAGACTGCCGACTGCCAAGAATCCACCACGTGTCCTTGCTTCCATGACCAAAGTTCCTGTGTTTAAAGAGAGAGGAGGTGGGTGGACAAAATGTTAGTCTCTGCTTTATTTGCAGCTTGCTAGCTTCCTATCAGGAGGGTGGGTGGGTGGAGAGTGCTAGCCTTTTAAATGGCTATTTTTGTGGCATCTTCAATTATAGAATAACTGATCACTTCTACCCACCATCCTCCACCACCCTGCCAAAAGACCACACGTAAAAGTGGTTGGTCTGAGAATGATAAATAGCACTGAAGCTTGCTTGGGGAGAGTTAAATATATATTTTTTTCAGCCTGGAGAAATGCAATTTTGCAGATACTGCCCGGATCTTTCTTCCTCTTGGGAAGATAAAACACATGAAGGAAAAATATTGGAAAAAATATCAGCAGTGACTTCCAAGCTGAATATTCACGCCAAACACTATCTTTTCCAAACAACTGCTCCACATTACACCATACCCAAAATTTTGGCCTATATTAATAATATTAAGACTATACTAAGTTGACCAGTCCCAAAGCTAAGCAATCATCACTATTAACAGTAATCTTAATGAGGCAGAAAAATGGCCAGAAAATAGTAACTTGTCATAGACAAGCGGCTAACTTAGTGTTTCTCAACCTTGGCAACTTGAAGACATGTGGACTTCAACTTCCAGAATTCCCCAGCTTAGAGAATTCTGGAAGTTGAACTCCACATGTCTTCAAGTTGCCAAGGTTGAGAAGCACTGCTCCAACTATATAGCTAAGCTGCTTAGATGTTATAGAGTTTTATATATCTAACAGCTGAGCAGTGAATCTGTATTCCCACCTGACCCACATTTTGGGCAGAAATACAAACATCTAAACTGAAAGCCAATTTACAGTTTCAAAAATAATAGCTAATCATGAGCATGTTCTCCCCCAGTCTTCCCAGAAAACTGATTGACAGGCTGTCGCATCAATTTCCTAAACAGCAACCCCAATTCTAGGGTTGTTGTTTTTAAAAAAAAGTTCTGAAGAATGCTGGAGAATGAAATTTCAACAGCCGAGTCTTATATCAGTAGATAGAGAATATCCAAAGTAAGGCTCATCTCACAACCACAAAAGCCACAACTATTCCTGGAGAAAGACTCAGATTCAAAAGTTCAAGCCTAGACGTCTTCGTGATGCCTTCCAGATGTTTTGGAGTACCTTAGCTGCTTTCGCCAGCATGGCCAGCTATCAGGAATGGTGACAATCAGAAAACATCTGGAGGGCACCACATTATGAAGAGCTATTGCAGACAGTATCTCTAACCTAGGTTTATGCCAACTTCTAAAAAGCTGAACTGAGAGACAAGAACCAAGAAAACTGGGCAACATTCTTCCATATAAGCACTCAAAGCAATTTAGATGACCATGGCCAAAGGGAGAATGCAAACTGGCCAACAGGAAATAAGATAATCCCCTTACAAAGAGGCCAATTTAATTATGGTGCAGTCTTCCCCAGCAAAGCAGGGAAAGCCCTACTCTCAGAATCATTTAAAAATAGACCACAGAATGCAGCACTTGAGAGCATACCACAGGGAATAATTCACCATTAGCACTTGACATAAATGAGCTAACATGTTTCTTTCCATTTCCTTCTTTTACATGGAGATCCAGCTGAAAATGTGAAAGGAAAAAAGCAAAACAAAAAACAAAAGAAACCCTATCTGCTAAAGGGAAGGAGAGATTTTTCTAACAATTACTGAAAGTTTGCAAAGTTTGGTGGAATTTTTAACTTAGAGAACACAGATGAGTATATATTTTCTTAAGGAGTGCATTCTGCTGAAGGACTGTCTGTCAGAACTTTAATCCAAGAATGGGTTAAGGGAATGAGTTCTCTCTCTCTCTCTCTCTCTCTCTCTCTCTCTCTCCCTCCCTCCCTCACACACATATTTCCTCTACCAATTCTTCTCTTGCACACATACTTCTCTCTTTTTTCATTCTCTTCCCTTCCACAAATTTATCAGGGCGGGATTGAGGGCTTCCACCTGAGAAGTGAACCAATCAATGACAGAGATCTACTCTCCCACTACTTGCTATTCTTCTCTCCTGTCAGTTCTTTTCCTCTCCCTCCCTTTTCTTTCTCCTTTCCATCTTCCTTCTCATATTAGTCTCTCCTGCGTGTAATTAGGCAGAATGTCATATGTAAATTTTGCATAGTATTGTATTCATTTATGCTGTATATAACATTGGGACTTTGGGAAGATGTATGTGTGTAGAAAGGAATCCCATAATAAGACTATATGGGACATTTTGAATCTGATGGAAAATCCTTTGGAGTCTGTTGCTTATGTTGGTTATGGTTAGAGTTAAGAGATCTCTAAATTAGAAGATAGACAGACAGACAGACAGCTCTGCCACTGGGAAAACAAGGATTACTCTAACTATGGTATAGTTTTTAGATATTCTGCCTCAAGATGCTGTTTTGTTGTGAAATATATAGCAAATTATTTATCTTGTATGTTGTAATTACTTTTTCCAAATCTCATAAGGTGAATGCTTATGAGGCATCAGATCAGATAATATTTTCTGTGTCTCTGAAAAAAATGATATAAATGCCTGGCAGGGGAAGATTGATCAAATCTGATGTCCTTCAGAATTTTTTATGGCTATCACAAGCCAGCCATAGTTGAAAGGCTGAGTTAAAATTCCTTTGTAAATGTTTTTCTTTTTAAAAAAATGAAAATCTCAAGCATAACTATCTGCTGTACCTCTCTGATATGCCTATATTCATGGACAGACAGTTACGAGAACCACTGAAGTGGTTATTGTCACAGACTGGCATTGAAGAGAACTAGGTTCAATTCCACCCTCAGCTACAGAAACTCACTGGGTGCCTTTGGGACACTCTCTCTCTCTTTTTCTCTCTCTCTCAGATCACCCTACCTCACAGGTCAGCTCTTGCTGGGATAAACACAAGAGACCTCTCCATGGAAGGCACCTTGAGCTCTTGGAGGAAAGGCAGGAGATACATCTATCAAAGAAATAAAATAAATAACTACAGATTGAAATATTTTCCTCTGTGGAATGAAGAAACTAAACAACGAAAAGCAAATTGTTGTATAGGAACGTTTTTCGACTGTTTATGCCTCTCAATTGCAGCCATCAATTTCTACGATTTCCTTTATGGAACCAAAACAGAACAAACAAAACCCACAGAAGCACAACATAGTTGTGTGGATCTACTACTTGAGACCAGATTTCAGTAAGGAGTTTAGAGTGTCCAGGGCACCCAAGTGATTTCCCCACAGAAAAATAATAAAGGCCATAAATTTACCATTGACAGTGGAGGGAAGATTTTTTCAATAGTTCTTGAACATATTATCATGGGACTCACTCCTAAGAAGTCCCCAGATATAATATTCTGCATCAGTTAAGAATAGGCAAGAAAACAAGAAAAGATCAGTAGAGACAAGTAAAAAAAAAATTATGCATACACACATGGCTAGTACAAATTGGCAGTCTTTTTGAAGTGCAAAATTACTCCTCTCTTCATTTTGTTCTCAGAACTGGTTTTAGAGGCACAAAATCCACAAACTATTGTGCTATATTGCGATAATATACTATGAAGCATGACAAACCATTTGCTGCCTTGTTGTGGGATCCCAAACACTGATGCTCAAAAACTTGTGTTGCCTATCCAGAATATAAAATAATACTTATTGATAATGTACCATTCTAATCAATATCAAATACCATCGTGTTAAAGTGTCTTTCTGATAGAGATTAGCAGAATTAGAAGAATGCCAACAGCTGAAAGAGTTAGAGTTGGGCTGGGAATGTTAAAAATATGTGTCATGACTCACTGGGACTAAATAATCCAACACTATATGATTGGATAACACAAGATAGCTCCAGTCTTTCAAATGTACATTCATAAATGTCCTTGACTTGCAACTATTCATTTAGTGACCATTCAAAGTTACAACGGCACTGAAAAAAGTGATTTATGAACTTTTTTTCACAATTTATGACCATTGTAGCATTCCTATGGTCACATGATCAAAACTTGGACACTTGGCAACTGGCATGCATTTATGACGGTTGCAGCGTCCCAGGGTCATGTGATCACTTTTTGCGATCTTCTGACAAGCAAAGTCAATAGGGAAGCCAGATTCACTTAACAATCGTGTCACTAAGTTAACAACTGCAGTGATTCACTGAACAACTGTGGCAAGAAAGGTTGTAAAATGGGGCAAAACTCACTTAACAACTATCTGGCTTAGCAATAAAAATGCTGGGCTGAACTGTGGTTGTAAGTCAAGGATTACCTGTGTTTTCATGAAGTCAAAAGATAAACCTGAAACCCAATGCCCCTAAAACAGTCACACGATTAACCATAAACTAAAACAGTCGAATACAATTATGATTATTTTGCTCTTTTAAAAGATATGTTGGAAAATGACAAAAGCTTTTTATCTGCGTCTTTTAGGACTAATTATCTCTGAACCTAAAAATTCCCTGGCCAGGCATTAATATACGTACCTAAGGTTTCAATCATCCAATTTCTTTCTAATAATTCCTTTAACTGATTGCCTGGGGTGTGCACTATTAGAGGCAGCAGGATATAATTAATCATGTTTTTGTTCCAGAATAATATCTGTTCCCACCAGTGTTCCCAGTATAGGAAAGCAAAAAATGACAAACAGTGCACTTTTACAGCAGACGGTGATGCCAAGCCTGTGTCATGTGTATTTTATTAGATCCAAGCCTGAATAAAAGACTTTGTTTCCACTTCAAAGGACTCATCCCAATCTTCTGCTCTTCCTTTATGAATAACAAATTTAAAATAAATCTTTGGGATGAAACACATGGAAACTCATAGCATCTCCCTGTCTTCCCAGGTCACTTATGTGCTATGTTCCTTTGGTTTATTATTAAATTTGTTTAAGAAATTCCAACGTATGACCTATGTTGGAATGCAAATGTATTTCTGTATTCCATAAGATACAAAGAACATCTTTCTCAAAAGACAAAGGATATTCTCCTGTTGCATTATATTTAAGACTCCGATA